GTCATGCTATGTGGACTGCTACATGACGTCATGCTATGTGGACTGCTAGGTCATGCTATGTGGACTGCTACATGACGTCATGCTATGTGGACGGCTCCTACTGCTACATGACGTCATGCTATGTGGACTGCTACATGACGTCATGCTATGTGGACTGCTAGGTCATGCTATGTGGACTGCTACATGACGTCATGCTATGTGGACGGCTCCTACTGCTACATGACGTCATGCTATGTGGACTGCTACATGACGTCATGCTATGTGGACTGCTCCTACTGCTACATGATGTCATGCTATGTGGACTGCTCCTACTGCTACATGACGTCATGCTATGTGGACTGCTCCTACTGCTACATGACGTCATGCTAGGTGGACTGCTCCTACTGCTACATGACGTCATGCTATGTGGACTGCTCCTACTGCTACATGACGTCATGCTAGGTGGACTGCTCCTACTGCTACATGACGTCATGCTATGTGGACTGCTCCTACTGCTACATGACGTCATGCTATGTGGACTGCTCCTACTGCTACATGACGTCATGCTATGTGGACTGCTCCTACTGCTACATGACGTCATGCTATGTGGACTGCTCCTACTGCTACATGACGTCATGCTATGTGGACTGCTCCTACTGCTACATGACGTCATGCTAGGTGGACTGCTCCTACTGCTACATGACGTCATGCTAGGTGGACTGCTCCTACTGCTACATGACGTCATGCTATGTGGACTGCTACATGTACAAAGAGTATCTACTAGTACTACTACATTAAATGTGCATGGACTGATCCTACTACATTTGTACTACTACATGTACCAACAGTCCAACAGTATCTCATTCGACAAAATATCACAGCCAAGACTGCAGCTATGCTATAGTTTCCCCAGTGAAATTTAAGCAAATTAATTTTCTCGTTGAATTTTCCAAATGTATATAATTATTTATTATAATTGTAGGCTACTACTTCACTACAGTTCATGTTTTGTATTTCCTTAAGTTTACTGTGTACCGGTACTGGGTGTGTTGTCATGACACACTGCTGTTTGCTGTGGCTGTTGTCATGACACACTGCTGTTTGCTGTGGCTGTTGTCATGACACACTGCTGTTTGCTGTGGCTGTTGTTGTCATAGTTACCGGAGCTGGTGGGTTGTGAGTGCCCCCCCCCCCCCCCCCCCCCCACTCCGCCTGTCGTACCCCCGGCCGTGGTGTACATGAGGAAGTGGTTTGATCTTCTGTCGCTGTTGTGTGTTCTCGCTCACTCTCTCATTCCTTCATTAAAACACGCGTTGATCTTCTGTCGCTGTTGTGTGTTCTCGCTCACTCTCTCATTCCTTCATTAAAACACGCGTTGATCTTCACTATAGCCTGTGTTTGTTTCATTTGTTCAATTTACATTCCAAGTCAAAGAGCAAAAGGACGTAGGTTGATAAAGTGGCCTACGTTCTGTGTTGATTGCTTCGACACCACATGATACAAATGTGTTTGTCTTGCTGTAACAGTGAAGATTCCCTGTGTCTATTTGTAAGAGTTTTACGGCACTTACAACACAATTCGGTCAAATAAGTGCCGAAGAATAGATGTATTACAAGAGAGTGACATACACAAAAAAGGAGAAATAAGGACGATAGATGTTTGAGTTTGACAGGAAAGAAGGAGCAAACCACACCAGAGCATCCGCCTATAATATGATTCTTTGAAAACACCCCAAAATTGTGCAATATATTGTACCCAGGGAACACAACATCCCACAGACAGACAGAGATACAGGAGAGATAGATCTCCCCACTCGGGAATACAACATCCCACAGACAGACAGAGATACAGGAGAGATAGATCTCCCCACTCGGGAATACAACATCCCACAGACAGACAGAGATACAGGAGAGATAGATCTCCCCACTCGGGAATACAACATCCCACAGACAGACAGAGATACAGGAGAGATAGATCTCCCCACTCGGGAATACAACATCCCACAGACAGACAGAGATACAGGAGAGATAGATCTCCCCACTCGGGAATACAACATCCCACAGACAGACAGAGATACAGGAGAGATAGATCTCCCCACTCGGGAATACAACATCCCACAGACAGACAGAGGATAGATCTCCCCACTCAGGAATACAACATCCCACAGACAGACAGAGATACAGGAGAGATAGATCTCCCCACTCGGGAATACAACATCCCACAGACAGACAGAGATACAGGAGAGATAGATCTCCCCACTCGGGAATACAACATCCCACAGACAGACAGAGGATAGATCTCCCCACTCAGGAATACAACATCCCACAGACAGACAGAGATACAGGAGAGATAGATCTCCCCACTCGGGAATACAACGTGGGTCTCCTCCTGTGTGGGACAGCCGAGTGCCTAGCCACTGCAGTAAAGGCCCCTCATAGAGAACACAGTCAACTCGGAAAATGTATGTAATACGTAACACACAACACACAGTAGACAGCCGAGCGCCTAGCCACTGCAGTATAGGCCCCTCATAGAGAACACGCTCAACTCGGAATGTATCAACAGTACAACACACGGTAGACAGTCAGTTTAATTTAGTTTTAGTAAGAGTTTTACGGCACTTGCAACACAATCAGGTCATATAAGGGCAGAAGATTAGAGGTGTTACAAGAGAGTAACAAACACAAAAAAAAGGAGGGGAGATTATAGAGAAGATAGATTTTTTTATAGGAAAGAGGGAGCAAACCACACCAGAGCACCCGCCAACCACCCACCAGGGTAGACAGTCACACAACACATAGTCATAGACAGTAGACATGTAAAAATATAACTCACGCAACAGTCTCTAAGCTTGACAAAAATCACTCCACTTTAATTACCAAAACAGATGTATGTATATATACGGTATCTATATATATAGATATATATATCACAAAGTCAACATCCTCTTACTAACATACATGCATGCGACACAAATCTCCAAGCTCAAAGCCCACTTGAACTTACCTAAGAACAAAACCCATCCTCTCCGTCAAACAGCACAGGCACTCTATTACATTGGACATATATAGCACAAATCTAGAGCTTGACCTCCATCACCAACACACATGTCACAGGGTCAACCCATATGAATAATTATCTCATTATTTAAAAAAGCCACACACCCTACACCATTTTTTAGTTTTACGAAAAACGTTTCTAAACTGCACTGAACAATAAACATCACCAAACATGTAGATTCCACTCAAAAACCATGAGTTCTCTGCTATTACATTACAAAAGCCATGAGTTCTCTGCTATTACATTACAAAAGCCATGAGTTCTCTGCTATTACATTACAAAGGCCATGAGTTCTCTATTACATTACAAAAGCCATGAGTTCTCTATGACATTATAATGTCATGTATTATGCACTCAGTTTTCAAGCTCAGAACAAAACAAAACAAAACAAATCCACCCAAGTTAGAAGGCAACAGTTTGTCATGGTTACGAACAAACTTGTTACATTGTCATGGTCATGAACAAACTTGTTACATTGTCATGGTCATGAACAAACTTGTAACATTGTCATGGTCATGAACAAACTTGTTACATTGTCATGGTTACGAACAAACTTGTTACATTTTCATGGTCATGAACAAACTTGTAACATTGTCATGGTTACGAACAAACTTGTTACATTTTCATGGTCATGAACAAACTTGTAACATTGTCATGGTCATGAACAAACTTGTTACATTGTCATTGTTACTAACCAACTTGTAATATATTCCTAACAATAACAACATGCCCTACCACCAATCTGTCCACGACAAAATTGAACTCTTCCATTGTTTTCTCCTGTAACATAGCGATGTATAAAAACAATAGCCCATCCTTCAAAGTCCCATGACGACCAGTACATCGGCAGAATAGAATACTTCTCCTGCTACATACAGTGACATAACAACGTAACACACCCGTACTGTCACATTTCGCTACATCAGAAACTACAAAGTTCCAACAGATACTTTTGGCCGTTTTGAGTTACAAAGACCATGAGGTCAGAAACCGTAAGATTATTACGAGTCGTTATCAAGATATTCAAAGAAAAAATCTTGGACGTCAAATTTCTCCAAACTAGGTCTAGGTAGTGAGCAGACAGAATGATCTCGTTCTAGGGTCGTGGTTTGTTGTTTGTCGTCACTGATTCTGCGGCACACAACGTATTTCTCCTAGACACTCGTCAGGGCTAAAAGGGCGGGTTTTGAGCGTTGTGATTGGACACGAGGGGCACACGGTAAGTGACACGTCAAGCAAACTTGATCACAGATTCTGCTGCTATCTCGTCAATATGTATATCGATAGGATCGCCATTTTTCAGATTTTTTGCTTGCCCTTTATTGTCAATGAGAATCATCTTTAAGCTGTCTGCGTTTCCTGCGATGTTGTTTTCATCAAACAGCTGTTGTTTTACCTGGAAAAAGAAAAAGCAAATAAAATAAAATACTGAGTGAAAGCAAAATGTAAATAATGAAGGAAGATTCCCATAACAGTAACATCACAAACAAAGATTCATATTACAGTTATAACAAACAAAGATTCATATTACAGTTATAACAAACAAAGATTCATATTACAGTTATAACAAACAAAGATTCATATTAAAGTTATCACAAACACAAAGATTCATATTACAGTTATCACAAACAAAGATTCATATTACAGTTATCACAAACAAAGATTCATACAGTTATCACAAACAAAGATTCATACAGTTATCACAAACACAAAGATTCATATGTATATTACAGTTATCACAAACAAAGATTCATATTACAGTTATCACAAACAAAGATTCATACAGTTATCACAAACAAAGATTCATACAGTTATCACAAACACAAAGATTCATTTGTATACTACAGTTATCACAAACAAAAATTATATTGCAGTTATAACAAACAAAGATTCATATTAAAGTTATCACAAACACAAAGATTCATATTACAGTTATCACAAACAAAGATTCATATTACAGTTATCACAAACAAAGATTCATACAGTTATCACAAACAAAGATTCATACAGTTATCACAAACACAAAGATTCATATGTATATTACAGTTATCACAAACAAAGATTCATATTACAGTTATCACAAACAAAGATTCATACAGTTATCACAAACAAAGATTCATACAGTTATCACAAACACAAAGATTCATATGTATACTACAGTTATCACAAACAAAGATTCATAATACAGTTATCAAAACATGACAACTGAACAAAATCCTCTTTCCCTGTAGAACCAAGAGTTGGTAGCCTACTACTACAGACACTACAGACTTGCCTACTACAGACTTGCCTACTACAGACTTGCCTACTACATGTACAGACTTCAACATAAGATAAGGACCATGTGCAAATTTGGCTAAAATTCCCTGAGGATTTCCGTGCTGCATGTGGTGGTTCTGCTCCTAAAAAGGAAGCTTTGCAGTACGCATTGTTAACCCATTAACACTTTTATAGCAAGATAATTTGAAACACTCCTTGTTGTCTTGTTAAAGGATTTTTAAAAATCAGGGCTACCTGTCATAGTGGTCTTTAACTTATGTTGAAGTCTGTATTTAAAAATTATTATCAGTTTATCTGGTCAAGATAAAGATCGATTATTGGTCCATCATGTTCTCCTCCTCTTGCAGCACAATGTGCCGGTGGCTGTGGTGTAGCGGTAAGGCACTTGGTCAACGCATGTAAAAGACAAAAGTTCTATTCCCAATCCCATGAAGGGAGTTTTTTCTATAGAGTATCTGGGTCCGATGGCCGGGATGTTGCATCCCTCTCAGCTCTCAGCCATCGGGGCTGGCCCGGCAGGCAGGCTGGAAGCGGCCAATGTCTTGTTGGATTTGTGTCACGACACGATGGAATCAGGCACTCACCACTTTTTGGACATGTGTCACGACGCGGTGGAATCAGGCACTCACCACTTTTTGGACACGTGTCATGACACGGTGGAATCAGGCACTCACCACTTTTTGGACATGTGTCACGACGCTGTGGAATCAGGCACTCTCCACTTTTTGGACATGCAGTTTAACACGGATAGCTCCAATTCGTTGAGACTGGGCTCTGTAATTCAGGGATCCGCAGTTCGAAGGATATCTTACCGTACTTAGATTAAAGATAAAGAAGAAAAAAAAAAAGAACGGGACCGCAGACATAGTTCAATGTGCAAAAGTCAGTATTTCTCTAGCTCAGTATCTGTCTCAGTACCTGTGCCACAGTCAGTATTTCTCTGTGTCACTACCTGTGTAACGGTCAGTATTTCTCTGTGTCACTACCTGTGTAACGGTCAGTATTTCTCTGTCTCAGTACCTGTGTAACGGTCAGTATTTCTCTGTCTCACTACCTGTGTAATGGTCAGTATTTCTCTGTCTCAGTACCTGTGTAACGGTCAGTATTTCTCTGTCTCAGTACCTGTGTAACGGTCAGTATTTCTCTGTCTCACTACCTGTGTAACGGTCAGTATTTCTCTGTCTCAGTACTTGTGTAACAGTCAGTATTTCTCTGTCTCAGTACCTGTGTAACAGTCAGTATTTCTCTGTCTCAGTACCTGAGTAAGAGTCAGTATTTCTCTAGCTCAGTACCTGTGTAACAGTCAGTATTTCTCTAGCTGAATACCTGTGCCACAGTCAGGGGTACGGCAGCTTCCCCTCCATGCGTTTCCGGGTCGGTTTCTACGGGAACCATTCTCAACTGCGGCGCAGTCTCGTTGGGAAACTGGACAAAAGCCTCCACTCCACTGACAGTCGCCTCTGCAACACACACAGGACAACATTATATAACAACACACACAGGACAACATTATATAACAACACACAGGACAACATTATATAACAACACACACGAGTCAAATATAACTACAAAATTAGAACAATATATACAAAAACATACACAGGAGAACATTAGAACAAAATAACATGTTCAATCAACAACACACAGAGGACAACTTAGAGCAATACACACAGGCAAACATTCTAACAATGGAAGTGCAACACACTAGAAATACCATTGGTATAATCGTAAAGCTCGTCATAGTTTATTTTTCTTTTCTTTAGAAAAATAACCCATGTATTTTGAACAAAAGTTGAGACATTAGCGACTGAAGTAGGTGCGCGCTGCCTCGTGCAAGAAATGGCTGCCAAAGTGTAAGTGTACTAACTTCTGAAGCTTGAGAGTCTTTGGAAACTGCAAATTTAGACATCTACATTTCTCGTGCTCTGACCCACCTATTTCAGTAAAATCCATATATATAATGATGTGTTTACAGTGCAGCCTCTCTATAACGACATCGTCGGGACCAGAAAAAATGTCGATATAAGAGAGTTGCCGTTACAGAGAGGCAACATAAAATTACTAATAATATATATGAGAAAAAATTGAAATTTTGGCACCATGCCGCTATACAGAGAATGTCGCTATATCGAAGATTGTTGTAGAGAGGCTGCACTGTATGTGTTTTTAAAGACATTGCTGCTGAGCCACAATAATGTGTTCCAAAACTGACAAAAACTTGTACAGATTGGCCGAGCAGCAGGACAATGCTAGCATCTTAGATTTCATTATTTTGACAAGCACCCGTTTTCAAAATAACGGCACACATGTATATATAATGCACACCAGTTTCTCGTAACGATTCGAAAGTCGAGCACAGTTTGTAAAGTTTGTTCTCCAACCTGCCGCGTCCAGACTGAAGTCAGCGTCATCCGCCATACTTTCCTTACTGCAGCCCACCCGCGATATCTGTCACCAAAAAATAGAAGAAATTGGGCTAAGACAAGTCGAGATTTAAATATAAATCCAAACAATAAATACATACATAAAAATAAACATACATGTAGTTTCTGTCTGGGCCAGGCGGCTGGCCTACTAGATCTAGATCTAGATCTAGATCTAGATCTAGATATAGATATAGATCTAGTAGTAAAAAAATAACGCACCGCCATTATAAATGAAACACCGACACCGCTGGTGACTGAAGGATGTCCGTATCGGTGATCAACTACCACTACCTAATAAATGATTGTGACTAACTTCTAGATATAGCTTTCTAGACCTAGATCTAGATCCAGATCTAGATCTAGCGCTAAAACTAAATAAAAGTATTAAATTTAAACTAACGAATAGCCCACATTCATTCATAGTGAGTCATAATGATTTACAATAGAAGAGTCTTATATCTCCCTCTATCTTCATAAGAAAGTAGCGAGGGAGCACACAATTTTTCGGCTTCGATTCAGAACGCAATCAATTAATTATAAACTCTGATAGATCTAATTAATTATGACTTACCCGAAAACAAGCTGGAAAAGATTAGACGATGTAAGAAATGTCACAGAGAAAGAGCACGTCTTGCAAGAGTAAGCTTAAATTAAAATAGCCCAAAATGGCTTCTTGGGAAAACCGAGCTTGGCTCGCAAGTGGGGGAAGGGAGGGAGGGGTGGATACCTTGGGCGGGCAGAAATTCGAATAATCGCATAAGAGCCCAGAACTGGGTCTCAAATTCATTATTTTCCAGGTGGGGGGGGGACATCGCTTTCCCTTTTAAAAAATGAAAAAAAACCGATTTAGAAATGGAAGAGTAGCATAAATTATGCCCCAGTTGGCGTTGCCAAGGGAATTTTCGCCCGAAAAACCCCGGGGGGGGGGGGGGGGGGGGAGGAAGGACTCTATGACAGCAAGAGTTCAAAGGTGCCGACAGACTCTGAGCCACGATCTCTGACCACGTCACAAGCAATAGAGTTGCAGAGGGATTATTCTAATTGCTATCAACCCCTGCAACTAGGTACAAAAACTTCAATTTCCCATGTCTAGAAGAGTTTCTTAATGCCAAATTTAAGCTCCGCCCCTCCCCCTCAACCCCCCCCCCCTCACAGCAACCCCACTCCTTCGTAAGCCATGAACTTTCCAGCGCTTTTTATCGTTGTTGTTGATGACTTCAGAGAACTGACAAGCTTGCCCTCCTCCATAAGGACTGTGATAACATATAGGCCTATTATCTAGTAAGAACAAATGAAAAAAACCCCAACTCATATAACTACTGAAAAAGAAAACAGTTACTATTATTGTTCTGAGCTAATAGCAGCACAAATTGAGACCCCCAAAAAGTTATATCTGTGATTCAAAGAGTCTAAGAATGACAAAACGATTATATACGACATCAAAACGAATCAGAAGCGAGTACAACTTTATTTGTTTTCAAACTGAGTCAGCTCAAACTGAATCGCTTTCAGAGTCAGCTAATGAAGTCACCCTTTGACAGTAACTACATGATGTACGACGAACACTGGAGCCAAATTCAGTTTGATGCTCAAGTAAATATTCTTCAGAAGTGATTTTCCCCCTCTTGATCTGCAGAGACGTTTGCCACAGCAAACTAAAATAGAATGACTACAAGAAAAACTAGATTCTATTTCCTGCTATAGGATTCTATTTTAAATAGCTTTGATAAGTAGATTTCGTTTTGTTCGGAAAAGAGTTTATTAATTAAGTGAAGCAGATAATGACAAGTATACCTACATCAAAACGAAGGAAATAACCGTTTTAACAAGGAGTTTACTAAATGAATTGCTTTAAAATAAAGTATGGCAGTCACAGTGGGTGAACACGTGGCCGACTTGGACTTTAAACAACCCCCCCCCCCCCCCCCCCCCCCCTCCGAAAAAGCGATTCGTTTATTCGGAGTTTTGGAGAACTAGGAAACTATTTCATCGGTTTTGGAAAAAACAAATCTTGCCCAGTAAGTAATCTTTGAAGGAACGGCCTATTAATAGAAACGGGAATTTCTGTCATGACAATTAAAAAAGTTTCTTGAAAAAAAGAACTGGAAGGCACAATCTTCTCTTTTTACCCAAAAATAAAATAATTATTTTTTATGCTTGCATTTTCTTAAGATGTTAATTAGGCATATTGTCATGCTGTTGAAGTAAAATGAAATAAATACAATCGGGTTTTCAACTTTTTAGTGATTACAGCGCGCCAATTTTGCTCTGCGCGCTGGGCGATTGGTGTTCGTCCAATAACGTCTGCAGTTTTCCTTCAGACTGTCGGATACATTTACGATTAAGCTAAAATCATATCTATTTATACGAAGAGCAAATGAATGAAATAAAGCTGTTTTTGTTACACAGAAAGCAAAAAGTACATAATAATTAATTTGTTTGAAAGAAAAAGGATAGATTCCAACTCCGATTGACCCTATACCGGAACTCAACCCTGCAGGTCCCAGTTTAGCCAGTTCCCGCCATCGCGAAGTTAACCTAAACAATAACAGAAACGTCGAAAACCACCACTAACCAAAGACAGTAGGATGTCTTTGTCTTTGCAATGAATCTGCAATACTGTAGTTAATCAACAAAGTAAATTACAGCTTTAACGTCCCCTGTTAGGTCCATTCATTGTCGGCATTATGGTTCTCCAGAACACTGGAAAATTTCATGCAGAAAAAGAGGGAGACAATGAGTCTGCTGGAGGAGGGTAAGCATCAGGCTGATGATCATCAGGCATCAGCTGTTGACGTTGTTACTACTGTTTCGAAGACATTCGACGCCTCTTTAATTATGAATTGAATTCCCTAGCAGGGGGCTTAAAACATTGCTATTAAATTTGATCTTATGGTTTTATACTGATGTCGGTAAATTTTTACTTTCACTCCCGCACACATGCACTGTTTCAGGGGTCAAACTGCTGTACTGTTTGCTGCAGATCACACATAAAGCCACTAAAACTGTCGCAAATCAATTATTTTCAATACAATTTCAAATTTAACTGTAAAATATCAAATTATGGGTGTAAAAACAGGGGGGCGTAACCCCCCAGATTTTCTTTTACCCCAGTGGGGCAGGCACCCCTGGAACCCCCCGATTGGTCCAAAGCATGTCTATCTCGGTTAAAAACAATCAAATATTTCAAAAACTATTAATTTGCGACGGAAATGAAGTTGATATTCGTGTTCAGCGCATCAATATTTAGTAGAATATAGACTAGCTGAGTGTGAGACGGGAGGGAAAGTAAAAAAATACCCTGATGTCATATCTAACTTTATTACTAATACTTATTCCTTTTTAATTTTTAGAGCAAGAGAGGATTCGACTGAAAAGAGGTTACGGCGAGCTGTTTTGAATGACGAGGTTGATGCTCGGTTTGGCTACGAGCGCTACAAAGATGCTGCAGAGAAAACTGGTTGGCTCATCAACATGCACCCGGTTAGCAAAGACTTGGGGTTTTTTGGGGGGAATGTATACAGACCCGGTAACCGGGAACAAAGTCACAAAGTATACAGACCCGGTAGGGGAACTTTTAAATTTTGTGATTTCGGAAAGTTTCAGCACCCTCTTGGCTCAGGGTAGACCTAGGTTCTTCTTTCTAGATCTATGGCCTAATTTCGAGGTTAGCCAAGATCTATAGACACCTGCCCTTGGCGCGACCGTGCCCTGAGCGTGACCAGTTCCCCATTTTTCCTTCTGTGCAGCTCGTGTGCAATCTGTTTTATTAGAGTTACGTGCCTTGTCTAGTTCCACTTTTGGTCAATCCTTTTGCGAGAACGTCAGTCGTCTGCTAGTGCAGCAGTCGAGTTCCAAGTGAAAGGCTTATCAGAAACGTTCTTTGAGAAGTTTTCTTCAGTTACTAAACTAGAGTAGCAGGCCCAACCCGCGACCACTTGTCTCTGTACCCTCTGTTATCAATAAGATAATTGTTTTCATCATGATTTGATAAAGAAATGATTTTACTAACCTTTATAAATGGTGTACTAACAACTTTCTTGCACCTGTTATATCTGTGCTCGCATGGTCGCGCCCTGTTCCGAATGCGGTCGCGTTGAGGGCATGCGGTCGCGCCAAGGGCAGAGCATTAACATGTTAAAATGCGAAATCTGCGAATGACGTTTTGGATTGACTGACGATATCACAGTATAAACCGGAAGTTGACACATTGAAGCGGCCCTGAACATGGATTGCATGAATGACCTATTTTGCTGACAGAGACCGCTGAGAAGCAAAATACGACTAATGGTCGCGGGTTGGGCCAGGTACTCTAGATCTAAATGAAGATTGCGGATGTCTTTTCAACGAACGATCATTTTTCCTCCGTTTTGGAGTAGATCTAGGAGGAATTACAATTTGAAGAAAAGAACAATGTCATAATTTCAATCGAGCAGTCACCCTCCCCCCCTCTCTCTCTCTCTCTCTCTCTCTCTCTCTCTCTCTCTCACTGTCTCTCTCTCTCTCTCTCTCTCTCTCTCTCTCTGTGCTCTGTCTCTGTATATCACTCGCATTCTCTTTTTCTTTGTCTCTGTCTTTCTTTCTCCCCACCTATTTCCCACTCTATCTTTCTCTCGTTCCCTCCTGCCAACTGGGGCATGTCATACATTTTGCTAGCACTTCCTCCAGCTCTCTCTCTCTCTTTCTCTCTCTCTCTCTCTCTCTCTCTCTCTCTCTCTCTCTCTCTCTCTCTCTCTCTCTCTCTGTCTCTCTCTCTCTCACACACACACACACACACACACACACTACCGGGTCTGGGTGCTGAAACTTCCCGAAATCACAAAAGAGTTCCCCTACCGGGTCTGTATACTTTGTGACTTTGTTCCCGGTTACAGGGTCTGTATACACTTGTTTGGTTTTTTTCCTTTTCATTTGTTTTCTTCTCAACAGTTGCCACCATCACCAGTGTTGGAAAGATTTTCATTCATTCATTAGCCTAAAGAATAGATCTAAATGGTCTCCTAAGACTCTTGGAATTGAAAGGAATCATGTCATAGTGATAGTCATTGTTTTTAAAGTCCAGACACAAGAAATGAATAGCTTATTTTGTTGTTGTAGGCCTAAATAATTGGTGTTTGTACTGATTTAATTTGATGTGCAAAATGATAAATTGGAGTCCGAGATTCTCTTTGCACTTTGTGTACCTTGGTTCTGTGTATCTGTCTCACCTGTTCTCTGCACTAATACATTATTGTGGTCATGTAGGCTACTTCTCTTTACTCAAGAAAACAATTTAGTCTTTTAATTTGGAATAGTCAAGAACAGTAGGCTACTAATAGTCTGTAGTATATATTGTGTAATGAACTGCTATTAACTCTATGTATAGATAGTATCAACATTCGAATAGTTCTTTTCCTTGCTAAAAGACTTAATAAAATTAAATAAAAGGATATTTAATTTTGATGTTGTGATTTGCAAGGTTCTTAATTACCTTTTGAAAAAGTGAAACAAAACTTTTTAGACACTTTTGAAAGGAAATTATTATTGAATCATTGTAGATGATTGCACTATTACATTTTTGGCAATATTGATCACTGGTGGGTTTTTTTTATATTAAAAAAAATAAAAAATTTCCCCTCCAGACAGACATTCTGGATGCAGACAAGAGGTTGGTCAGTGCTGTGGACTACTACTTCTTGCAAGAGGATGGGGGGAGATTCAAGGTAAAGACAGGCTCATTCGACCTGTGACTGAATCTTATGAATAATTTTATGTTTGGTCTGGTCACAATGATTATATGTTGTGAAAGACCTGTTCAGTAAACCCCCTGTAGGCCAATAATGTACTTCCGTCAGATCCAATATTTGATATTGTTCACCACCAAAATCTCTGGAAAAGTGAATGTTTAAGTGAAAAGTATGTTTTACTCTGGTAATTTTCAGACAGCTTTTTTTTTAAAAGAATGAAATATTCAATGGGATTTAGGACCTCCGAAAGTAAACTTGACAGCGGAGAGTATGTTTTCACCTCTAGTATATCGTTCTGAAGTTTTACTGTAGTTACTTTTTGAAATTGTTACTCTCTCGTTGCACTTATGAATAAGACTTTTAAATCTCATTGCAAGTGCCGTAAAAGTTACAAACAAAAAACTAACAGAAAAACCTTTAAAAAACCCTCTGTAACGACGGAAACTGTTCTGTGGTCAGGCCACGCTGGTGTTCAAGCCTTACTTCTTCGTGGCCGCCCGCGGGGACTGCGAGAGAGAGGTGGCCTCCTACCTGACGCGAAAGTTCTCGGGGAAAATCGCTGCCATGGAAACCGTCCACAAAGAGGATCTAGACTTGGTGAGAGGTTGCCAGATATTGTCGGTGTTGTAACTGGTATATTTTTCTTATATATATATAAGTTGTCACATGCGGGTGTACACATATGATAACACCTGGACACAGAAATGTTTGGAATGGAAAAAAGTTTTACTCTAAATTTGATTATTCGAAAGGACCAGTTACCTAGCTTCATGTCTAAATTAGTGTTTTAGACAGATTATTAGCATAATTGATTAAAAGTACTTTTTCAGAACTATCGGTAAATTGTCTGTTTTTAGTTCTAAATTGCTGCTGTTTTAATGCAACAATGATGCCCCCCCCCCCCCCCCCCCAATTCTTTGCATTTCATTTACAAGTTGTTTGTGGTACGTTAATACTGGGAAGTTTCATCACAGAATACCTAGACATGAGCAAGTTTGAACTTTTCGGAGCAGCTTCCTGGTAGTGACTGATGGTCTATGTTTCAGCCGAACCATCTGGTGGGCCTGAAGCGGTCGTACATCAAGCTGTCGTTCCACAGCACCGAGGAACTCATCAAAGTCAGGAAAGAGATCTTCCCAGCCGTCCGGAAAAACAAAGAGCAGGAGAAGAACTCCAACAACTACACCGACCTTTTGAAAAGGTACACGCGGGAGATGATGAGGATTTTTTTCCTCCTTCTCCTCCTCCATCTTTTTCTAGCAATGCCAATCGCCCGCTGCGCCTTGTGCCGGAAATTGGCCTCCGCGTGAGGGGTATTTTTTGGGCCGCTCGGAATCAGAAGTGACTGTCTTCTAAGTATAGTTACGGGAAAACTCCTGGACGAAAATAAATGAAACTCGGCAACCAACCAGAGGAAAGGTTAAACTAACGACATGCCAGCGTACAATCCCGAACGATTACTAGAACCGGAGATATTGCCGTGTTTGTGAGAATTTCCTGTGCGGTTCGAAAACTAAGCGGAGCTGTGGGTTGATCGCCGACCACACAAGCGCCCCACATGTCTTCTTTATTGCTGTAAAATTTCAGATCTCTGCGTTTAGTAGATTTTCCGTACCAACTTAAAATTACCACCCACCCATTGATAAAACACTAGATCTAGAAACTTAATCGCGCATTCCAAACGCGAGGTGCCGGCATGCAAGAGGCGCGTGATCGCTAGGCGGCATGTGATTGGCTGCCTATAACCAAATGGGTCACCGATGACTACATCGCGGGTTTTCCCGATAGCGCTTTACTGAGTTTTAGAAGGGGTGATCGCGTTGCGGTAAAAACGATGTCACGCAATTCAACAAATTTCACGCAAATATCAGTCTTTAAGATCCAAAGTAATGAAGACAACGAAAAAGTGATAGCAGAACTAGATTCGACACTAAAAATCACATGGAGATACCAAGTTTCATTCATATGCTCCAATTCATTACTGACTTATGAACAGTTTTTCCTCAAAATACACCAAGACATGTCCCACATTTTGGCGATTTTTTCCTATATGAAGGTCCTCCAACATTTTGCAAACAAAAATCCCAATAACTTTTTTATTTATCAATGGATTTTTAAAATTAAAAAACCATAGTTCTTAGAATTTACTCTAGTTTCATTTAAGCCCATTTTAAAGCAATTTGGATGAAAATTTAATTTTTCATTGTCATTGCTACTTTTTCTCCTTCTCTTCTTCCTCTCGCCTCTTCTCTTCTTCCTTTCGCTCCTTCTCTTCTTCCTCCTCCTCCTTCTTCTCCTCCCCCTCCTCTACCTTCTACTCCTCCTCCTCTGTTTTCTTTTTCTTCCATCTGTGTAAGTTCTATCAATGAGTTATTCCTCAGACTCTTTTTGTGTTAGTTTATCTCGTCGGAGCAAGATCGCACGACCATTATGTCAATTTATGATAATTATGATCAAGTGCCTGATCTGCGACGGACATCGGCGATCATGGTTTGCCATTCATTCCTTTGCTCGGATGCTCTCAAAAAAGCTACATTACCCTAGTCTTTCCCTGTCTCCCTTCTGTTTTACTTCTCCAAGAGGTTGCTCCGAGCCGACCCCTGCCTCGTTTGCCTTTATTTTTGCCAGTGAGAACAATATGTTTTAGGTCTTTATGTTTATTCAAATGTCCCAGAAACTGTATTTGTCTTTTCCTGATTGTTTTTATCTGAGAGCTGCCCATGTAGGCCTCTTCAAGTACTACCTCATTTGATTTCTTTTCCGTCTCAGAAATTCTGAGCAGTCTCCTGAAAAGCCACATTTCTGTTGCCTCCATTTTGTTTTCTCTGTCTGTAGTGAAAGTTTGTGAGTGTCTGTGTGTGTGTGATGTCTATACTTTATTCTTTTATTATTATTTTTTTCAGTCACTTTGGAGGAGAAGAAGCCCTGGAGGTCTCCAAGAAAATCTCGGATCAGATGGAAAATATTGTGGACTTGAGGTGAGAGAATAACAGCAACACGGCTGTAAACAAACACGACATGTAAACAAACATAGCATGTAAACAAACATAGCATGTAAACAAACACGGCATGTAAACAAACATAGCATGTAAACAAACATAGCATGTAAACAAACACGGCATGTAAACAAACATAGCATGTAAACAAACACGGCATGTAAACAAACATAGCGTGTAAACAAACATAGCATGTAAACAAACACGGCATGTAAACAAACATAGCATGTAAACAAACACGGCATGTAAACAAACATAGCATGTAAACAAACACACAGGCCACAGAAAGTCGTGAAGGAAAAACTCCTGGATGGTGTTGTGGCTTTTAAGTGATTTTTCCACATTAGGATTGAGGACCCTTGAATAGAAGCAGCCAGCCTCCCAGATTAGTTAAACTGTGGCGATAAAGCCATAGAACGTTTACAACCCAAGCCAGCCAATGACAGACTGCAGGTTGTTTTCTTGTCAGAAGTGACTTGAATTGTCTTTAGTTTCTACTCTTTTAAGGGGGAGACGGTTGGAGGGCACTACATGCATGCAGGCACACACGCAAACTTGCGATTGCACATACACACACATTTTGTGTTTTCTTTTTTCCAGAGAATACGACGTTCCTTACCATGTACGCGTCTCCATTGACCTCAAGATTTTCGTCGGCCATTGGTACTCGGTAAAGGGCAAAGGGTCGCATGAGCTGGAGATGTGGAGGAGAGAGGACCTCGTGGCTTGGCCGGTAACTAATGCTAGTCGTGCACGCACCACAAACTTTTCTCTCTGATATGCCAACTCTTACTTGTCTCTCTGATATCCCAACTCTTACTTGTCTCTCTGATATCCCAACTCTTACTTTTCTCTCTGATATCCCAACTCTTACTTGTCTCTCTGATATCCCAACTCTTACATGTCTCTCTGATATCCCAACTCTTACTTTTCTCTCTGATATTTAAACTCTTACAATCAACTTTTCTCTCTGATATTTAAACTCTTACAATCAACTTTTCTCTCTGATATTTTACGTCTTTCCTTACCAGACCATTTTTCTCACTACCAGATTGTTTGTAGAAAGTCTCTCTTCATTTACCTTTAAAGAAATTCAAAATCGTTTACAATTCTTTTTTTCTGGTCTTTTATCATTTTTTTTTTTCGTCTTTCCTTCCGTCCGTGACAGGATCCAGTGGTGCTGGCCTTTGACATCGAGACAACCAAACTTCCCCTCAAGTTTCCCGACGCCCAGACCGACCAGGTCATGATGATTTCCTACATGATTGACGGACAGGTAGGAAAGAGTGCAATCTTGATTGTAGCACATTCTCTATGACGTTCTTCCATTTTTGCCTTCTGTCTCCTCAAGTGCTAGATAAATATTAACATAGTTTTCATCGTTCAACAAATATCCACGAAGCCTTACATCATGTTTACTCTAAAACAAAGTGGAGCAGGATTATTCTGTAAATGAGGGAAGAACAGAAATCTTCCATTTTTCTCAAAACGGGGGGAGAAAAAATGGGATATGTTGCATTATGCCACGGAACTGTTGAGCTGTTGTCATTTTGTCGGACAGGGCTACCTGATCTGTAACAGCGAGATCGTGTCGCAGCACGTCGATGACTTTGAGTACACGCCACGACCTGAGTTTGAGGGACCCTTCACCGTCTACAATGTGCCGGATGAGGTCAGTGGGATATACGCTGTTGCAATATTGGTGGGATATGCACGCATACACACACACACAATTACAGTATTAAATGTCTACACACACACGTGCACACACAGTTACATTATTAGATGTCTACTCACGCACGCACACACAGTTACAGATCTTTTACTGTCTATGGCCAGATACCCATTCACACCTGGGTGAAGTGAGGAAAATTCTTGTGAAGTGGCTTTTTCCATGGATACAACTTTAGGCTGAGCTGAGTTTCAAACCTCCAATCCCACAACTTCACGATTACGAGTTTAGTAGCCTAACCACTAGACTATTATCTGAACAATTTAAAAGATAAAAATATTAATTTTAATTTATTTTATTTGATTATTTGATTCGTCTGTTTTCAGAAAAGTCTGTTACAGAAGTTCTTTGAGCACTGCCAGGAGGTGAAGCCACACGTGTTTGTCACCTACAACGGAGATTTCTTTGACTGGTGAGAACATTTCTGTCAACTGGTGCTGTGCAGATCAGCCTCTTATCATCATCATCATCATCATCCTCATCATCATCCTCATCATCGTCATCATCATCATCATGGCCTTTCTCCCCCTGCACTAGGGTATTGGCCATGAACAAACACTTTCCACCTGTCCCTATCCTGGGCTAGCCTCTTGATGTTTTTCCATGTTTATCAAGTTTCTTGTCTGTCTGCTGGGATATTGTATCCCTCTCAGCCGGGGTCTGTCTGCTGGGATGTTGTATCCCTCTCAGCCCGGGTCAGAAGCCTACCTCCTAAATGATCTAAATTGTGTTGATGAAGGCGTAAATAACACATACAGTAAAATATTTTACTCTCTTCTTCCCTCCCCTCCCCTCCCATCTCCCCTCCTTTCCCCTCCCCTCACGTCTCCCCTCCTTTCCCCTCCCCTCATGTCTCCTCTCGTCTTTCCTCC